TGCCCCTGCCAGTGTAATTCATGTCTAGACGAGTCACCTGGTGTTGATGGTCCCTTCCTCTCTCTCTCTCTCTCTCTCTGTTCTCACCCCTCACCTCCCCTTGTTATCAACAGAGCAAACATTCCCCCTCCTCCAATAGATCTTCCTCCTTGCCAACAGCCGGGTAGTACTTGCAGGGGAACACGCCCAGAAGCGCGCCTCGAGACGTGGGGACGCATCTTGACACGCGCACGCACGTCGTGCGTCCATTTGTTTTTCTTGAGTAGATGGCTATATTCTTCGGGAGGGAGGAGGGATGCTCAAGGCGCGCGCGCGCACCTGCGCCCGGCGCGGCGGGGGATGTTTGAAAGATGGCAAATGTACAAGAGGCAAAGGGGGGGACACGGTGGCCGGGCGGATGCGCAATGTCAGGGAGAAATGGATGTGAGTGTGCTTCCCGAATGCCAGCCGGGCGATGTGTGCATCATCATCCGCGAGCACATTAGATCTGGATCGAACCGCTCGGGGCCCGGTTGCCGGTCTGGGGATGGCGGTATTTTTTGTTTGCCCGGCGATCGACACAGGCCATGCATGGGGGAGGGTGTTAGCGAAGCAGGGCGATGAGGCAGACCCGGAGGGCAGGCAGGTGGGGAGACGCACGAAAATGTGCTTGGCCGAGTAGTAGCCAGCCTCCAGATACTCCCAGTGGGGGATCTGCTCGAGGCCGCTCTTGTTCATGAAGAAGCGGTTGTACACGATGCCACCGATGACATAGACCGACACAAGGGACAGCATGACAATGATGGCGATGACGCCGCCCGAAAGACCGCCGGAGGCCTATTGGGTGGGAGAAGCAGCACCCGCAAGGGGCAGGGGACATCGAGCGTGAGTTACACATGGGCCAGGCGGGGCGCGGGAGGGAGAGGAGCGGGGCCTAGTTCGATGGTGGACGGAGAAAGCGCACCGGGGGAGGAATGATCGCCTTCTCGCAGGCGGCCGCGGTCTTCCAAGTGAACAGGTAGTGGCACTGCTCCTCGCGAATGGACATCAAACGGGGGATACCGACGCCGGCGGTCGGGTCGCACAGGTAATGCACATCGGAGGAAATGCGCAAGGCGCCGTTGGGGTTGGTGTGGCTCGAGCCCGGGCAGGCATCGCCATCGGAGAAGCGCATGACCGTGTTGCCATCTTGGGCTGCAGGGTGTGGCGTCCAAAAAGCGGAAGGGGGTGGTGGTGGTGGTGGTGGGGTGAGTTTTGGGCCATGGGCATGGTAGGGTGGCGAAGGAGAGGAGGCGTTGGGGAGCGCGGGAAGGGGGCAAAGAAAAGAGGGAGGGATGTTGGGGATGCAGAAGCAGGGCAGCGAAAAGGGCCAGAGGGGAAACGGACTCTTCAGGGTGCCACTGTTGCCGAGCGAGAGGCCAGCCTGACCGGGAGAGGACTTGTCGATCATGCAGATGGAGACACCCTCACGGCAGGGGTTCTGCGCGGGGACCAGGTCATCGCAAACATTCATCAGGTACTCGTGGTTGGGCTTGTTGTTCTCGGCCAGGACCAGAGCTACAGCAGGGCGGCGGAGGGAGAGACGGCGCAAATGGGTGTCAGTGCATCTGCGGCGACAGGACCAGAGAGCATAGGAGGGCGGCGCAGAGGAGGCAGCCAGGGGGAGATGGGCGGTTATGGGAACGAACGGGCATAGTTGGTCTTGGCGTCCGAGGGCAGAGTCAAAGCCGAGAGATCGACCTTGTTGGTGCCGTCATTGACATTGCAGCTATTTTTCCCACGGCGAGGGGGGTTGAGGAGGGTTGGGCAGGGGAAGGGAGGGGAGGGGGGGGGGGAGAGGATGGCAGGAGGGTGAGACACACACACACACACACACACACGCGCGCGCGCATACACACAGAAGCGCAGCACGGAGGCGAGCGAACACATGACGCACGTCTGCTCAATCATCTGCCCACAGGCAACGGGGCTGTTCCAGGCCAGCAGGAAGGAGCACTTGTCGCTGTGCTTCATGAAGACCGGCGTGCCAAGGCGTCCGGAGAGCGAGGCATTGCAAGTGAAGAGGATGGTCGTGGTGAAGGGGACGGTCTTGCCGTCGGAGTTCTGGCAATCGCCACCATTGGCAAAGGTGTAGGAGAGACTCTGGCCGGAGTTGTTGATGACGATGTTCGAGGGGGAGGTGCGGCCGGTGACCGCGTGCAGACGAGCCGACGCGGGGTCGCTCTGGCCGGACACGTGGATGACACCGGCATTGGAGGTGCCATCCGGGAGGCTGGGGTGCTCGACATTGCCGCAAATGTTCAGCAGCAGGCGCGAGTCCTCGCCGGTGATGGTCTTGGGCAGGTTGATGGCATAGTGCTGGCCCGGGGGCAGGGAGAGAGCCGTGAAGTCGTAGCGGATGTTGTGCTCGGGATCCTCGATGAAGCAGTTCTCCGGGTTCGGGATCGGGGTCGTGGGCTTGGGGGTGACAATCGGGCAGGCATGCTTGGTGACCCAAATGAAGGAATAGGTACACTGGCGGTTGGGATGTGCGTGCCAGCGGACGAAGGCGGGAGGGGGGAGGCGACAAGGGCAGGAGTGGGGGCATTAGCGCGCTTTCTTTTGGGGCCAAAAAGCGGACAGAGAGGGAGGGGGGGGGGGGGGGGGGGGGAGAAGACCACAGACAGGGGCAATGGACGTGGGAAGATGTGTCGTGGCACACTGCCGCCGATGATGGGGAGGGCCGAGCAAAGAGACAGGCAAGAGGCGGGGGAGGGGGTGGGGGCGACGCACGGCAAACTCGCCGACGAACTGCGGCGAGGTGTCATCCGCACTCTCATCACACGCGGCCAGGATGGAAATGCTCCGGGGGATGTTGCTGCGGCGGCACATATCGCCGCCGGTGAAAACAATGTCCAGCTGCCCGGGGGCGAGGATGTTCACCTCGGAGAGGGTTCCGAGGCTGTAGACCTCATCCTCCATGTCATTGAGCATGTCAATCTGGCAGGCGTGCACGCCGCCCGGCGGGCACTTGGTCGGGCCGTAGGCCGACTCGAAGGTCTCCGCGACCACGGGCGCGCAAAGATTCAGCACATAGAGGAACTCCCGGTTGGGGTCCAGGGAGAAGTCCTTGTAGTTTGGGGCACTGGTGCGCTGCAGGGGGCGCAGGTCGTAGATGTCCTTGGTGTTGGGGTCCTCGAAGTAGCAGAGCTGTGCGCATTGGCGCGAGTAGCAGGAGGGGGGGGGAGGGACGAGGGGGTTAGGGGAACGAGTGATCCTGGGAATAAGGAAGACATACACACACACAGGCCAGGGGTGTGCGTGGCGTGAGTGGTGTCGGAAGAGGGGGACGCCAGACACAGCATCGGATGCACCTTCGACGGCTCGGGGGCATCGGCCGCCGAGACCGGCAGGCCCATGGCACCCATAGCCAGGCCCAGGACCGCGATCAGGGCCAGCAGCATCAGAGCGGCCGGGAGGTTACGAGGCTGCCGCATTGTGCTCTTGGCGCTCGAAGGGGGGAGGGGAGCGCGACAGGCGAACAGGGAGGTTGATACACAGGGAGGGGAGAGGGGGGGGGGCGGGAACAGAGCAGGGAGGAGCGGGGCGCCGAGGGGGGGGGGGAGGGGGCGGTGTGTCTGCAGAAAGTGGCCAGGGGCGCGGGGGCAGCCAAAAAGAGCCTACACCCCGAGACCCTTCTTCCCCCCGCCCGGGGGAGAACACGCATGAGCGAGTGTCTGCGCCTGTGGGGGTCTCCCCGGCGGGGCCTCAAGTCAGGCGCGGCAAATGAAAACAATAGACGCGCGGTCCCCTCGCACACTGATCCGGTCACGGCGCGTGCTGGCCGTCTGCCCGCGCGCCCTCCCCGCTATCCCCCCCGGGCTCACATGCGCCTCTGTGTCGGCTCCTCTGGGGGGGCCCCGGGGCGAGGCGGCGGGCTGCGAGAGGGGCGCGTGACACGGTCGCCACCGCCGTCAGCCTTGACCAAGAGTGGCATATCCTGGGCTGCTCTGGGCCCGCCCTCCTGACCAGGCGGCTCGTTCGGAGCTCGAGGGGGCGCGGGCGCGGGGCGTTCCTGTGCGGGGGGGGGGGGGCGTTGTCCATCCAGGGACGCTGGAAGGTGGGAGCGAGTGCGGGCAAATGTCTGGCACTCGCCCCCCCCCCCCTCCACCCCCGCCGAGAGAGCTCTGGCTCGCGGAGTCTGGGGCCGCTCCCGCTGTGCATGACTACATCCTCCTAGCCGGGCGCGGGGGAGCCTGCATGAGCGGCCGATCGCCCGGGCCTCCTCCCAGGCACATGCCCACGGACTTGGCAATCAGCACGGTGCCACCCTGCCGTGGCTTCTCCCCCCCCCCCTCCGTCCCGGCCGCCGGGGCGGGGCACATGCACGGGGAAGGGGGGGAAAAGCGCAGGCGCCCAGGAGAAGAGAGCCCAGGAGAAGGCCCGAGATTAGGGCGGTTCAGCTCGGGGGGG